CGAGAACTTGCTTAAATATTCTAGAATAGGACTGATTCAGACCTGAGCGTTGTATTCGTCTGTTACTTATCTGGAAAGACTTGACTGTGTTTGCACAATATGTGGCTTTGCACAGTTGAGGCCCAAGGCCATTAGTCACAGGCACATCAGTGGAACACGTTACCTGCCAGAGCCTCACGCTGTGCTTCAGCTCTCTGAAAAACCTTGTGTTTTTGCATTGTCTGTGAACAACAGTGAGACAACTGACCTGGGATGTGGGCACATCGTTCCTGTCCTTGGAGGGATCACCACAGATGCACTGTGAGGCACAGGAACTTCCTACAGCCTCTTGAGTACTTGTCTAAACCTCTGCTCATTTTCTGTCTCTCAACATTTACCTAGAAGTAGGTCACTACAGCCTGCTTCTTTCTGGGCATGGAAAAGCTGTGGCATGGCACAGCCCTTCAGGAGGTGAAGGGAGAAAATGAAATTTTGGCCAGGCACCCTTGTGCTGACTTGAACACACAGGCCACGTTTAGCCCCATGTGCAGAAGGGCAGGTATGGTTTCACCAGTCATGAGTTATTTGCAGTATCCAGGATTAATGAAGGGCTGAGCAGGGCTGAGGTGTTTGTGATAAGACTGGTGCTAACAATATGAAGGCCTGTCTGCTTCTGAGTCTATTAAGGCGTGAACTGTTTGTGATGAATAAACTTCTTGTTAACCAGGCCAGAAAAAAAAAAAAGTCTGGAATTGCCTGAAGTATTTGCTGTGGCAACCTCAGGGATGTATAGCACAGGGGTTTAGGCCGTTTTCAGAATAACCTCATTTATATAAGGGCTGAGGGCTGCATATGAAGAATCTCTGAAAATCTGGGGCCCAGTAACACCGGGACCTTGCATCAGGGCAGGATGGAGTGAAACCTCCATCCTTGAAGGATTCAGGAGCTGGCTGTGCAGTGCCACAGCTGCACTGACCTGTGTTGGCCATCCAGCTCCAAGTAACTGGAAAGGGACCTGGAGACCTCCAGAGGTCCCTTCCAGCCACCAGCTCTGTCATAGTATGATCCTGTGAGGGGCCGGTCACCAGCCTGTAGTTCTGGCCTTTCAGATAGCACCGAAAGTGATATGAGGTGGAAGAACACCTGGCTCTGTGTGCTGTGCCAAACGTGGAGGCTACCACAGCATCACTGAGAAGTGGAAAAACTCCAAGATTTGCCCGTGGTGGTCTCTAAATCTGGTTGCTGAGCCATATGTGAAGCCTACCTCAGGTCTTTTGCTGAATATGGATGGAGGGAGCAGTCCCTCAGTATGGCCAGGGTCCTGAGAAGGTGGCCTGCAGCACCTGGCAGTTACCAGCTTATAGACTGGAACCTTACCAGCTGTTTAGTCACAAAATTCATGAGTTTGGGCAAAGTGTAGACGGGTGACATTCAAAACTAGGCACTGTAGGAGCAGAAGTTATAAAGAGGCTCAGTGCAGCACATGTCCTCCCGCATTTCAGCATGGCTGTGTAAACCAGTTGGATGCTGTGTCATTACTTCCACCTTTCATATGTTTCAAGCTTGTTAAAATTATATCTTGGTAAGCACATGAAGTTACAGCAGATGGCAAAATCTGAAATGTTCTCTTCAATTCTTTATTTTAATTAGGTTTTCAGTTATCCCTTTATGAAAAGCTCCCTATGCATGTCTGAAAGTATTGCAAGCATTTAAATAAGCTCCTGGTGCGACTACTCAGAGCTAAAGTCAAAATTAATATCTTTATGAAAGGATTTCTTGGGTTTTCTCTGTTGTTTTAAATCTTTTGTGGAATGCGCTCGTCTTGTTCAGATACCAGTTTGATGTCTTTTCTTGATTTGGTGCTGGACACATCAAAACATTGGTGTGCAAATGTTCTGCGTGTCTTGCCACGACAGTAGTGACATGAATGGTTTGGAAATTAGTCAATATGCATTTGTGTGCAATTAACCTATGGCCAGTATTGTATTTGCATACTGTATTTACCATATTTTTCATATTTACAATACACAGCAGCTCTTGGCCTCCTGACCAGAGTTAAAATGACTATATGTATTAGTAGCAGTCTGAAAACAAACTCTAGTCATGGCTGGTAACAGCACCCATTAAAATGGTTGTTTGACACTATTTTATATCTGCACAGAATGCCATTTTAGGTTAAACTCGGGAATAGTTTTGTGAGAATGGCAAAAAGCTATAATTTGTTAGCACAGTTGATGTCACTATACTGTTGACTTGAAATCACCTGAATTGTATTGACTGAAATTTCATCCTTCCTTCTTTTTATCTTGATTAATTTGAGGCACCAGAAATGGAGACTTTCAATCCACAAGGTTAAAGTTTATCCAAATTATAAACACCTGGCAGGGTATTAGTTAATAAGAGACAGTGCTAGCAATGCCACTTACAGTTTCTGTATAAATATGTAGAAATAAGTAGACTGCATCTAGTAGAATTAGGTGGTCTTTGATGGCACAGTTTATATACAATCTGCATATGCTACCTGTTACATTGCTAATAAGTATGAGAACAAATTCTTGGAGCAAAGCTCATTTCATCTGTTGTAACTCCAGTAACGTTTCGGGTGGTATGATATTCACTGTGTTATTCTAACACCAAAGAGTTATTTCTTTCCTTATTTTAAAGCAGCAAGTAGTTGACACTGAATGTGGTAGCTGTTCTGAATGCAAGGATCCTATATCTAGGTACAGAGAAGTATGAATATTTTGATAAAACTGAGGAAGACATAGATCATCCTGTGCTAGGTGTTATGCAGACAATTCAGAAAGGTATAAAAGCCAAAAAATCTTGTATGGAAGACAAGAGATGGCAAATGGACCTAGTCCATAAACTAAGTAGTAGAGCAGGTTTATATTTATATTTACATTCAAAAGTATTCCATTGGTGAAATTTGAGGATGTAATTTCCTGTGCTGATTTCATCTTCTGTTGCGCTTTATCTTTTCCTATATTTCTCTAAGTATGCTTCCAACAGAAGCATGGACTAGGAAGAAAATAGAAAACATGCTTTGTAATAATAGGAATACTATTGCAGGATATAGAATTTAATTATTCAATGGGGATGCAGTTTGTGTGCAGCACCCAACAGGAACAGCAATTTTCCAGGAACAAGCGACATTAGAAGTAGCACTCATTGGAGATTTTGAATATGTTACCAAGTTTTATTTAATTATTCATTTCGTCAAAAATTAAAAGGATCACTTTCTAAGAAAACTTCTTTTCAGGGTTAAATGAGTACCCTTCAGACCATCCTTATTTGTGAAATACTAATCACCAGATTAGTATGGGGATAGCGAAGTTGTCTTACTGTTCAGTCTAGTACAAGAATATTTAAAGAGAAATTATGCTGAAAATATGCTCACAGTTTATAAGTGGGGAATAGGAAGAAAAGGGAGAAAAAGCGTCACAAGATAAAACAGCTATTTTTGAGAAAACCAAGGGCGGCTCGAATAAATGGAGCGTGGAATTAAAGGCCACTCTTAATCTTAAATTCTCTGAAAGAGAAGTCAAACCACACAGAAAAGGGACTTTTAAAAATAGGAATAAAAAACAGCTTTTTTATGTCCCATGTCTAGTTTTGTTACAATAATAGTGGTGCTGAACACAAAAGCATATCTGTGCAATATTGTGACAGCTTTCTACAATGAGATGATTTGTCCACACTGCAGGGGAATCTTACTCATTTTACTGTGTAAAAATAACTTTGTTACTCTGAGGACAGAGTTTGTTGTTTTTCCTTTTTTATTTTTTTCTCCGCATAGCAAATTATTTTCTCAGGATTAAATGTTGCATGTAATTAAGAATGACAATTTTCATTTTGAATTCCAAATTGGCATAAAAATATAGGAAGCAAAAAATATGACCTGATGCATCCTTTTGAGTGCAAAAAATCAGAAGGTGCTAACTTGTTTCTTAATAATTGTAACATGGTACTGTGGTGTCTGCTCATGAAATACCATTTACTACAACAAAGTGCAGTCTGTCAAAAAGTTACAAAAGTTATTGCACTCGTAATTTTATTAAACGTCTGTTTTATGGCAAACCTAATAGGCAGAAATGCTGTAAGGAGTATTAGTGCTGCAGAATGGAATAAGCCTGCATCTGTATTTCTTCCTTGTGTCTTCTGTTACGTGGTAATTGACATGGACCAATGTGCAAACTAAGGTGGGCTATTAATAACTCACTGAATGTCTATGTTGCCTAGTGAGGATTTGAAATTATATACTGATGTTCGTTTGGAGGTAATATTTAATGGCAAAGTAATAGAGGTGCAGTATGTTTAGATGCATATATTTTCATGTATTGTCAAGCCAGCTTGTCACAAGGGGGTAGTAAATAAGCTAGATTTTTCTTATGCAGGTTGGAAGCAAGCATGTTTTGAGGTGCTTTTAGGATGTGCCAGGGCTATTCATTTCTGACAGTTCAGAGGAGAGGAAGAAAAATGAGGTGTGCTTGGTGGGAAGGATGTAATTTGTAGTGCCGTTCTCCTTTAGCACCAGGCGAACCTTTTCCTCTCCTGTGACTGGGAAGGGCCACAGGGCCCCGCATTGCAAAGGGTCCCTGCCTACTTAGGGCTGCCCCTCTGACCTCATGAGGTAGTGTGCGTGAGGGTTTGCACGCCAAGCACTGCAAGGCAGACATCCCTTCATTGGTTTGAGCAGGTGTGAGAAGAACAGTGAGCCCAGGGGCAGCAGCAGGGTGCTGCTGCATGCGGGGCAGCCTGCCAGCACAGGGGTTCACAGCGGAGAAGCAGCCCATGTCTGTCTGTCCAGATATCTGTCTGTGTTTTTTTTTTCCCCCTTACTCCATTACCATTTTTAATCATCTCTGATAGCATCTTTGTCCGCCTCAGTTTGGGAACGGTGCTTTCTGGTGTCTGCAAGGGAATACCCGGTGGCTGGAGGTGTTGAAAACTTAGGCTGCGGTTTCCAGCTGCATATATTCACATGCTTAATGAAGGTTTTCTTCTTTTGTTTGGTGCAGGGCCGTATCTGCAGAAAAGCTGGCAAATCAAAAAAGTCGTTCAGTCGAAAGGAAGCTGAAGCAACATTTAAGAGTTTGGTGAAGACCCATGAAAAGTATGGGTGGGTCACTCCGCCCGTCTCTGATGGCTGATGTTAGCAACCTGCACTTGACAAAAATGCTGAACAAAAGTACTGTGACATCTCCTCAGTGCTGTACACCGCCCATCCTTTTCTACTTCAGCTTCAGTTACATACCATGAATGTCAAGGAGACATCTAAGTTATTTATGAACAGATGTGTTTACAGAGGGAGAGGAAAAAAAAGATGCTGTTTAGGATTATATTTCAAGACTGGAGAATGGTCGTCATTGAAGTCACTTGAGCGGATGTTGAGATTGCATCATTTGCCCCCATACAGCCCACATTGTCTTCAGCTTCTTTCCATGACAGCAGCACCAAACAGCAGTACTGGAAAGTCTATCCATTACTGCTCAGTTCATTTAAATGTAAATGAAACAGTTAATATTTAATAGGGAAGCAGTGCATTGCAGGTACATGTTTGCTGTGCTGTTTATCTTTGTCTCCTAGCAGGTCAACATAACTTGAAGATTTGTCTTTATGTGGAACTGTGGTCTGCTGTGACTAAATTTAGACCTCATTTGTGCTCTATATATGACCTTTAATTCATAAATGAAACCGGAATTAAAATGATGAAAGGTCCTAGTGTTGACAAATTATTAAGTGGAATCACCCAACCGGTTACAATGTGCTATCTATGCTGATATTGTGATGTGCTGTTCAGAAATAAACCAGTGCAGTTAGCTGAAGGTTAGGTGGTTTTTTTAAACACATCCATGCCAGGGCTTGAAGTGGTTGGTGGTAGCAGAAGCATTATTACCCTGCCAGTACCTTCTGCAGTCGCATGTGGCCCCTCAGTTCTTCAAAACGGCAAAACAAACAAGTGGAAACGGACAAAGCAACCTTAAAAAATTATCTGCTTAATTTTGAAATGATATGCCAGTAACAGAGTAAAAAAAATTTCAAAGCAAATGAAACATGGTTTGTAAGATGATTTGCATGACTGGATTTTTCTTTTCTCTTTTTACTCAATAGACATTGTATGTACTTAGAGCCCAGTATCTGAGAAAACCCACTGATGTATATAAATGTCCTATTATTTAATCATTAAGATTTAAGTTTTCTGGTAAACAAATGGAAAAACTTTCTAAGAGACTCCATAAAAGCTGAAGGTAATGTTTAAATGGTATAAGGAAAGCATTAAAAAAATGTGGATTCCAAATGGAAAATGGTATTGGACACATGCTGAATAAAATCACCAGTATCGTTTTCGTTGCCTCAAGGATTCCATCATTTTGGCCAACTTTTGTGTTCAAAGACATAGGTTTCCTACTGTGAAATCCTATACATGTATCTGTTGTAGCAGTATGTTAATTGCAAGCAGGACAGTGCCATTTGTAAGAATCTAATTTGGTGGGGGAAAAAGCGTGTGCCTGAAAACACTTTCCATTATCTCTCTAAGTCAAGACTACGTCAAAGTGGCTGACCAGTTTCTAGATGTTTGGAGGCCGTGCAGACAGGTCAGGGGTTTAGAGTTTGATTTACAACAACACACAACAGAGAAGACCAAAGAGTAATGAAGAACGAAGGAACCAGAGCACAAATGAAGAAGTAGCGGAGCAGATTTTCACACAGCAGTGGTGGAAACACTGCTCGGTTTATCTGCTTTGCCCATCTAGCTGTTTGTCAGCTAGATGAAGAGCAAAATGTTCAGCTTGCAGCGAAACAGCTATTCGGGTCAGAGCCACTCAGTCTCGTGAACATAGCTGGTTTCTCACGCTTTTCCCTCATCTCCTTCATCTGTCTCTTCTTTCACCTGAGACCATTTCTGATACCTTCCTGGTGTGCCTTATCTCGGTTATGACTGGAAATGCTTTTTACCATAAATGCACAGATCTTGCTGTGATTTATCCTACCCTGTTGTATGCTCTGAGACAATGCTGCAATTCAGTGTGTATATACTTTCCCTCTCAGGCTGTCACTTTAGTGCATCCAGCAGCAGAATGTATCCTTTGAGAGAGGGACAGCATTTCAAATCACGTAGTTACTCCTTTTTATGAACACTTTTTGCTATCTGTTAGGAGAGAGAAAACTGGTATGTTTAGTTTGGCATCGAATAATTTGCGATCCCTAGTGGGAGTTCCTGAAAACATGTAGAGGGACATATAGCGCTGGAAAGCATGGGGTTTGTTATTTCCCTTCTGAAAAGCTCTGCCCTCATCAGCACAGTAAAATGCTGTTAAAAGCAACGTGAAGGTGTGGTAAATCCTGGGGTGAGGGGAGAGGGAATATTTCTTTCTCTGCTGTTTTTCAACCTGTCTCTTTTTTTTTCTGTCAGTGGGTTATTTTAAATCTTCCTGAGAACCATATCTTTAATATTTAATTAAAGGGTTAGCTAAAAGGAAGGTAGTGGGTGGATTGCTACCACTTTCCTCAAACCTACTTATTATGTATCTTCTTAAGTGTGCTTTAAATAGTTATAGCAAACATCATTGCTAAAAATCACAGTTGCTTTCTGGCTGTAGGAGGTTCTCTGTATCACTCAGAGTCTTGGAGCCGTAGGAGAGGCAAATCAAAAAAATCTGGAGTGCTTTGAAGCTGGAGCAGAAGGGGAGCAGAGCACATGTGATAAGCTACAGCAACAAATAGTCCAAGGAAAAAAAAGAAGCAAAAGTACACTGCATGAACTAGGTCGGGATGAAGTTCCTGCCACACCAAAAATAAAAATGCTCTTATTGAAGAGACAGCTTATAGCGGGAGCAGCCTGTGCTGGGGGGAAGTGCAGGAAAAAAGGGGACAGCGGGAAGCCTTAGAAGCATTATGCTTCTGACCAGGGAGGAAGGGAGATTGGTGAGAACGTAGTTAATGAAGAGATTTAGAAAGAGGGTTGATCTATTTTAAGAGAAATTAGTGCATTGTTATTGTCTAGCTCTATCAGTAGCTTATGCCTCAGTGCTATTGCTGAAGAATAAGTTTTACTTCTCCACCAGACGAGCCTAAAAAAAGTAGTGAGAACATCAGGAGGGGAAAGGTACATGAGAGAAAGGAAGGGAGAAGGACCTAAGAGGCCAAAATAGTTTGGCCAGTCTTTCTCAAAGGTCCAAAACATCAGAGCAGGGGTGTGAGGGGGAGAAGGGAAAGGGGGGCATTTCTTCTGTTTGCAGTAAATGTCAATGTTGCATCTTTATTCAGTCCAAAAACTTCACAGGGCTTCTTGTAGACTCAGCAGTCAACACGGGTCCTCCAGTTCTCATTAGAGCCATGTACTGAGGAATATTATTTTCCATCTGCTGCCCCCAGAACAGATGATTAATTTGAAAGTAGGATCTGTGGAGGTGTTAAGTTGTATTAGGAAGTTGCTTCCTGGCTTTTAGAATATGCCCTTTTGGAGAAGCTTCTATAAGTCTGGAAAAACTACTCAACGTTGACGCTGAATAAAGAAAGCTTATGGGAAGGGAAGGAAGCTGTCTCTGAATATCTAAACACTGAAGGTTCTCCACAGAGAACAGAGCTGATGATTTATGAGGGAACACGTTGCTGTGACATTACAAATTGGTCCTAAAAACTCTTAAAAGCAAAAAAATCAGCACTCAAAGACCTCGTGAACTTGCCTTATTTTCTCTCCCAAAGGCAAAGCATCTCCTTCATCCCAACCTGCACTTCAGTCCCAAGTCCAAAGAAAGCTAATAAGAGTGGCCTGTTTATTTTGAGCTGTAACACCATGTCATATAAAAAAGGGTTTGATTCATTCTCCTTCTCCAAAGCAGTAAGTAAGATCCTAAAACAGAGCTTCTTGTATAAAAGGCAGGGTTGGGACAAAGCCTTTCTAGCATAACATATCCACGTGATATGACTGTGTAATATATATGGTTTTAGAAAACTCATTTAGAAAGACATTTGAAGTCACAGTTGCCAAGCAGTGATCGCTCTCACGGCCAGTACCGCGATGCATGTGGACTTTGCATTCCACCAGAACTTGTAATACAGAAGAAATGAGTCTTGATGTGCTGGCTATACAGAGAAAATACTGTAGAACTAACTGGCATTTGGGATTTAAATCTCTGTTTTTTCTCTGTCACATTTTACTCCTCTTTCAAGATCATTGACCACAGCCACAGTGTCTTGGTTTGACACTCGCATTAAAGCCAGCGTGGTTATTTACATGACTCCAATGAGACAGTTGGTTATGAGCACACTTTTCTTGTCCAGCAGGGCTTTGGAGGGGAGCTGCCTTCCAGCTGAATGCCAGGGTATGGAGCTTTGCTGGAGCACTGAGGATTTACTTTGTAGTGATACATGGGCAGACACGATGCACGCTTAAGGGGCTGAAAGCTTCTCTGTCTTACATGTGGAAACACTTGCATAGTCAGGGTGAAAGGCTTGCCTCCTTCATGCAGTGAGTGAATGGTGGTGAAGAAGATTATCCTGAAGTGCATAATGAATTATACCAACAGAATTAAGTAGACCGACCTGCCACTACAGTGTAATTTTCCAGTTATCTATCCCCCCATCCCTGACAAGCACAAACCTATATTAAATGGTTTCTACTGCCCACACCACAGTTCAGAAGATGACAGCCAGTAGAGGCCCTGAAGAAAAGCTCCTGGAAATGTACCTTCTCCTAGCCTTTTCAGCTAGGGGAACAAGCCTCTGAGCTTGTCTAGTCAATGTGCATCCTGCCTTGTATCCATATACCAATCTTGCAAACACTTTGCAGTCATACATATAGTAGTTGGACTGAGTCAAAGTGCTCAGCGCATCTCTGACCTGGGTTCAGATTTGCAGAGCAGATGGGTTACTAAATATGCACCAAAGGGTTTTATGCAAGTTAGTGACACATTTAAAGTTTTGCTTGGCTCTCTATGAAGAGTAAAGCGGCTGTCAAACTAGGTCTGAGGACAAATAGGTTGAAAGTGAGTCAGCTGCTATTATCAGCACAACTGCACCGGAGAGGTGCTTTCATTTGGCACATGAAAGGCTAGAGGTGAGGTACGGCCACAAGAGCAGCCAGGAGGACATTGCGAGAAGGTATAAAGAATTTTTCCCTCACCGTGTTATTGACTCTTTAATTGCAGCCACTTAAACTTATGTTACTCTACTTTGTAAGTTTTACCCTCCTCTTTAAATCCCTTCCAAGTTTCACTAATATGCTAAGGGAACCTTAAAACAAGTCATGTAAATTGACATTTAAAACCTGCCTTTCATTCTAGAAGCATGCAAATGCCATGCTGACACCTGTCAAATTTCACCGACAGCTTCCTCACACTAGCAAGTCTTGGACAAATCAGTGATGACGGTAGTTAACACAAAAATAGAAACTGTAATTTGGATGTTTGAATTGGTCTTTTCCCTGATTGCTTTGTCTTTCAGTTTGATTGACTTCAGAACAGAATGTCAAGATAACAGCAGTGAAACTGCCATAGTGTTATTTGTTTATTTATAACAGTTCCTTTTGTTCATACTGCTAAATAAGGTGGCGATAAATATTCATTGCAGTTGTGTTTCACCAAATGGGAATTCAGAGATAACTCCTCACACTCTGAAAACTTTGCATTTTATACATAGTGTTTGCCACCACACTTAGCATGCATTATCTTGTGTTGTCAAATATTCTTGTGTTTTCTTTCTCGCTGACCTCGTGTGTTTTAAATTACCTTGGTTTACTAACAGAAATATTTGAAGTGTGTCTCAGGTTCTCTCCACAAAATCAATGAAATGTAACTGGACCAAATCTAATTGTCTGTGTGATTTAGAGGAGTTCTTCGCTTGCCATTTGCATTAAAAAGATTTGTAGACTTTTGCCAAAGGTTCCCCTTCTGAAGTTTCTCAACACTACTAAGACTTTGAATTCAGCACACAAATCCATACTTTCAGGAATTAGCATGCATCTTGGGAATGAAAGCAGACCAGCCTCAAAAAAAAAATTATACAATTTATTCATTTATATCAGCGTCGTTTAGTTCTGAGAATGTGTAATAACAGTACAAACTCAGGTAATTCCTCATATTGGGCACAATTTTTATTATTTAATTTTTATAATTCTGTAATATGCTAACAGAATTTATGAGAATCCCATGAGATTGGGAGGAATGATCGATACTGCAGAAGGCAAGGCTGAGTTCAGAGGGACCTGAACAAGCTGAAGGAGTAGGCCAACAGGAACTTTGTGAAATTTGACAACAGGAGCTAAGTCTTGTACTTTGAATTGAGCCATCCAATTGATTGGTGCAGGTTGAAGACTCTGGCTAGATCACAGTTCTGTAGAAAAAGATGTGGACAGCAGATTTACAAGGGATAACACAAAGGATAGTGATGCCCTTGTGTTAATGAAGGTTAGTCACACACTGGGCTGCAATGGCAAGAGCATAGCCAAATGGTAAAGGGAAGGGATTCTCTTCCTCTAATCATCATTTGTGAGGTGAAATCTGGAGTATTGTGTCCAGTTTTGCCCTCTACTCCCAAAACAAGACAATATTTGACAAATTGGAAGGAATCCTATAGAGGGGCACCAGGTCTGAAGCATATCATGTGTGGGAAGAGGCTGAGAGCAAGTTCTGCTCAGCCTGGAAAGAGAAGGCCAAGGGGAGTCTGACTGCAGCCCTCCACTGCCTAGAAGGGGATTGCAGAGAATGATGGAGCCGTCTTCTCTGAGATGAAGAACAGAAGAGCAAGCAGCGGCAGACAGAAGTTGCATTAAGCAAGGTTATAGCTGGATTGAGGGAAGAGCCTCCTCACCACATGAGCAGTTAAACACCAGAGTAAGTTGCCCAGAAGTAATGGGATCTCCACTGTGGAAGATTTCTGGGAGTCAACTCAATAATACCGAGTAACCTGACGCAGCTTTAAATATAGCCCTGCTTAAAGCAGGAGCTTAGATAAGGGATCTCCAAAGGTTCCTTACAAACTAAATGTTTCTGTGATTCTGTAATACTACTAATATTATTAAGTTTGCTATTCAGAGGTACTGAATAGCAAATAAATTGTAATAGCAATATTAAATAAATTGTATAATTATATAAATTAAATAATATTAAATTAAATAAAATTAAATTAAATAGTATTCAATAAATAGCAACATTAAATAGCAAATAAACAAATTTCATGGCCAAAAATATGCCTGTCCCAATATGTGAAGCTCCACCTGATCCATAAAGCTGCTAACTATGCAAATTCAGTCACTTCCAGGAGGCTGCCTTCATTATTTACAACTCACTGAGTTAAATGATTATAATAATGAGAAGTAGCATTTTCCATCCTGTTATGTTTGAGAAATAATTTGTGTCAACCATAATCAAAACCACAGCTGAGTATAAATGAAAGGAACCTGAAAACTTGCATACAAGCAAATTCAGAAATTAATTACACTGGCACGAATGAAAGGAAAACACCTGGTGATTCGTGAATTACCACATTAGCACATGCTTTCTCCTCAAGCTGCAGAAGTACTTCATGCTACGTGGCCCTTTTGATGGGTAGAAGTTTGGAAGGACGGTAAACGGGCAGAAGGTGGCATATGCATAAAACGAGATGGGCCAGCTACTTCTGCTCCCCATGCTCTCTCAGTTATCCAGAAGAAAATCAAAGCAGCAGAACTCTTCTACCTTCTTCACAGGGGATACAAACCTCCAGCAAGGGCCAGCTGTTCATGGCTCAGTACCAACCAATTTTTAGTGCAAACCACCCCCTCCCAAGTAACCCATGCTCTAACATAATTGTGTAGGTGCAGTTGTATAAGCTCATGCAACCACCTCTTGAAGGTGTCCCTGGATTAAGCCTAATTAACAGAGCCACATTGAATTTTCTCCATACATACAACAGCTATCAGTCCACTGTTACAAATATTTTCCACATAAATATGTATTTTGAGAGAACTCTCAGTTCTTTTTTTCCCTGGAGCACTTTAAGCCTAACAGGTTTTTCATGCTGTCTCTTTGCCTACAATGCAAGATTGAAAAATATCTCCCTCAGCAGAGATAATACAAACGAAAGCATGTAAAGCAAACCTGGAGCTTACAGATGGCATCTCCTGTGGGAAAATTCTCTAAATTCTGAAAAGCAATTTACTATACTTGAGGTTGCCTCACATTGCAAGGATTTCATGATTGCTAAGGTGAGCCATTCTTGAATTACTAGGGCCAAAACCCTTGTTATCAATCTTGTCCTGGCTTTACCTGCATTCTGTTAATTTTTTGCAGATTGATGCCTAAAGCAAAAAATAAAAAAAAGGTTTTGCTGGCATTTTTGATAGGGACCTCAACCTGGCATGTGTTATAATACAAGATATCTGCTTGTTCTTTACGTCCTAATTCTGCTGCACAACAGATCCCAATCTGCTCAATACACATGGCTCCCCTGTCCAAAGAAGGCCAGTGTGAGGACCTGCATTTGTCTTTCCTTTCCTGCTCCCTGGTGTTCTTTGCATCACTGTTCCTAGACAGGAAAGTCTTCTGTGAAGGCACTTATTTTAACACCAATTCTGAGATAAAGTTGTGTTGTCAAGTACCCCTCCCTCACAAGCACAGTCAGAGCACTTGGAAAAAAACAAAGGGATTGAACAAAGAACTAATGTATTCAAAGTGACTGGCCCCAGAGCACAGCTGTTGACATTGCAACAGTGAGTAGTGTTGTGATTCATCTCGTTTATTCTCTACAGGGTGCAAAACGGAGTAACACTGGAGTGCAGTTGGTTTTGACGCTAATCCTTATCGTAGGAGCAGTTCTGCTGCTGTCGGTGAGCACAACTGGTGCCCAGCCTTTATAGGGTCTCTTGAAATGAGGTGTGTTGAGTGGCCAGCCACCTCTCCAGCACCAAAAAGACAAAATCTGACTCTTGGTCTGACCTTTTGGCCAGCTTCTCTACAGGTACTCAGTTTTGATTCCCAATGTATCACAGAACCACCGAATGGTTTGTGTTGGAAGGGACCTTAAAAACCACCCAGTTCCAACCCCCTGTCATGGGTAGGGACACCTCCCACTAGGCCAGGTAGTCCAGAGCCTTGTCCAGCCTGGCCTTATATGTCTTATATATAAACAAGGGGAAAGCTGGACCCAACTTTCCACTGTAACACTCATAAGGCTTCCAAACCTGAAGCATAACTACATAAAAAACCTCTGCAGCACTTGAGCTACGGATGACAGCTTTGTCTCAAAGCCATTTCTGCTCTTCTTTCTGTGCTGGCAATACAAATTTCAAAGATTCCTGCCCATTGGAAGTGATCTGAAGAGAGAACATATTTCTTGACGTGAATTTCACTGACGGGTGACGTGATCATGTTCCTGTCTAGTCAATAATTCATTCACTAGCTCTCAGAAAGAGACAGTTGGACACTTTCCATAATCATAGAACCATAAAACAGTGTGGGTTGGAAGGGACCTTAAAGATCACCCAGTTCCAGCCCCCTGCCATGGGCAGGGACACCTCCCACCAGACCAGGTTGCCCAAAGCCCCATCCAGCCTGGCCTTGAACACCTCCAGGGATGGGGCAGCCACAGCTTCTCTGGGCAGCCTGTGCCAGTGCCTCACCACCCTCTGAGTAAAGAATTTCCTCCTAACATCTAATGTAAATCTCCCCTCTTAGTTTAAAGCCATTCCCCCTTGTCCTCTCACTATCTGCCCATGTAAAAAGTTGCACAATACCCACGAGAAATCCTGATGTAATTAGTGGAATGTGGTATGTATGGTGAGGGTCCACCACGGTGAAGGTGGCAAAGGAGCTGAAAACTATGTCCAGAGCAGTACACATGGTAATCATAAATTATTGTAGGTAATCGTGTTCCTGGTAGAACTTATGATTTCTTTGGAATGAAAAGAAAACAAAAGTTACTGCAGCCTCCTGAAGGAGAAGCTTCAGTTTATGCTGTTGATTTCTTTTAAAAGCTACTGACAGGGAAGAACATAAAATTCCTGGCAGTAAAGCAAGCCAGACAGGGAAGGATGAGAAGTCAGAGGGGACCTAGAAATTTAGAAGGCTACCAGGAAATTCTTCTTCTCCTAAATCTCTTTCTCCTAAATCACTTCACATTTCGGAAGCAGCCATTCAGTTAATATACTTTTACACCTTCCCATTTTTTTCCCAAGAGATTTTGGGGTACATTTGGATAACACCCAAGGGACCATGTCACTGACACCATCATGGGCCAGAGTGGACTCCTTTTAAATGCAAAATGTCAAGTTTGGGTAGGACAGAAAGTGCTCACAAATAAATGTATATTCCCCTCCTTCCTCAGCTAGCAGGCATCTGTAAACTTGTATGACTCATTTCTGCTTCGTGTAGATGTACCTGATTTCATATGTTTTGAGGTAAGTTTGTGTAACATATCAGCTGGAAAGAAAGTGGGAAGCTGCTAATGTAACAAGTAATTGAAGTGTGTGCTTATCTAATGAGCACAAATAAACATTGCTGTTGCCTTTGCGTGGTTTAAAGTGACAGCTATCTCTTTGTGAGAGCTGACGCATGAAGCAAAGAGTAGACAGCCCTGACTTATAACATGGTTGTGCCCTCTCTGTCATTGAAATTAATTTCAGGAAATAAATTACCTCTTCAGGACAGTTTTTCAAGTCATCTGAGATTTTGTCATGTGGCAAGTAACAATAGTGCTCATGTAATAAAGTAATTGAAACAGCATTTTATTTACCAACACTTGCATCCCTTCATCCTCTAATAATGGTGCTGTAGAACAAAGGATGAAGCTGTAAGTACAGTCATTAACTTGTGAAGTTAAACAGCTAGCATGTTCAGTCAGCTTCAACTGAACAGCACAAGGCACCAAAATAGTTTTTCATTTTTAATGATTGGCCAGATTTTTCTCTATGCAATAAAAAACTAGTAGCAAGGTAGGATCTCCCTGCTTCCAGTTGAAGACAGGCTCCTGAAGAGTGTCCTTAACTTCTTAGAGGCTAGGTTTATGCTAAAGGAGAACAGCCATTTTTAAGCAGCCTGCTGCCACATTGCTTCCAGCTCCCTGGTTCCCTGACAGACTCAGCCAAACCAAGAAATCCATTGCTCAATGGATGACAACACTGGCAAAGCTGAGTCAACACCAGTAACATAAGAGGTTGACTCGAGCAGCTAGTCAAAATGTAATCCCTTGTAGGCATTATTTCAATCAAATAAATTCTTTCAATCTGGAAGAAAAATACCTGAAGTATCTCAATATCTCTTTCTTACAAGTGAGGAATGCAGCCACTTGTGAGAAAATACAAGGTCTTACCTTCTTGACCTCAGCAATTGGAAAATGTTTTTTTATTTCACTGCTCTCTGACCAGAGAACCTCTTTGCCTAAGGGCTACATGTTGAAAAGATTGATTTATTCTTCCCAAATCAATCCTCTGCTGCTGCCTAATGGATTAACCTACCCGATTCCTTGTGGTGAGGTGGTGCAGGGAGGAGGAGAGGACAGGGCAAGGGGAGAAAAAAGGAAAGCAAAGTTAACACTGGGCAGCCAGCAAAGGTGTTGTGTTCTAGACTGATCTAGCCAAAGGGAGTAAAATCAGGAGAGTAGGTGGCAAGGAAATGCACTTAGCTGAGACAGACAAGCACTTTCACGTCCCTCCTTCTGTACTCTCATTGTTTTCCACTTTCTATCAGTAAGGCAAAAATCCAACAAAGTGACTCATCTCAGCTTGTAGGAGAAACCCCACCCTCCCTTCATACCTCTGTCTCGTCCTTCCTAAGCAACATAATGCTTTGAATAGGAACAGAGAAATTACTCCAGAGAAGGCTTCACTTTGTCTTCCATTTTCGAGGTCAAAAGTAATTAAAAAATAAACAAATCCATTTTATCAGCACCAAGAAAAAGCATGTTTTTTACTTAAATAAAAATAACCTTTTACTTAGTGTTGAGGGATCCAGATACTTCAGAAAGTGGAAAACAGCAGGAGTTAACTACGGATTGCCACAGGACCCGTGTATTGTTGGTAGGATACAGCGGCTTCCCCGAATTGCTCCGAGCACAGCTGGTGCTCCGTGAGGGCTGGCAGAAAGCTCTTGCAGTGCCTCGGAGCTGTGCACACCCTCAGAAGGCAGGGACGACTGGAAAGGGTGAGATAACACTCACATTTTGCAGTGAGCTCTGATTTTGTTGTGCTTACTGCACCTGATCCCAATGGAAATTTTATCCTGCTTAAAGCTGATCCCAAAGGAATCTTAGCGTTCATGCCATGCTACGTGTGAGGCATCTTTAGCTAGTCGGTAACTTTATTGCGAGGATATTCAGACTCTGAACATGCTGTACAGACTGGAAGATACAATGCTTTTCCGAAAAAATGCCTGACAGCATTCACATACCATATCTCATAATCTTTCAATATTACTCGCAAATTCCACTCTGCGTTCATGATGTGCAATAAAAACAACTGCTTTATTTTATGCTAGGCAAGATGTGAAACAAGCATCTGTTTCGTATTTTGATATAACAGAAATGTTGAGATCAGTACAAATGAATTGTGCGGCTGGATGAGGCAGTCATCTGAGTCTGTATCCTAGTGGCTTAGAGGGGGGCGTAAGACTCGTCCTGGGGGTCAGAAAGATTCAGGCTGGAGTGAGTTTATCTCCTTCAACCCCTTAGTCCAAGAAAGGCCAGCTTTGAGATTAGATCAGGTTGCTCAGAGCATTGTCCAGGTGAGTCACAAATATCTCACAAGGTGGACATTCCCCCACCTCTCTGGATAGCCTCTTCCAGCTTGGTCACCCTGCAGGAGATCAGCCTTTTCCTCCTGTCCGATCAGTGCAGACTGTGGCTGCTGGCTCTCGTCGTCCATCACCGAGCGCTTGAAGAGGAGCCTGCACTTGGGAAAAGTGAGTAAAAATTGTTGAAAAATAGAAAATAATTGTTACAGTTTGCCAAGTTGTGTCTCGATGTCTTGGTATTTAATTCGACTTGAATTATCCACCAAAAAGAGGTCTACCATGATCTGTGTATGGCAGTACAGCAGTGACCACACTCCATTACCAAGACACTGTTATCCACTTAACATTCTGAGGTGTTTGAAGAGTTTTCTAGTTTCCCTCCAGTGCTCTTTTCTTTGTATTGAATATGAAGGGCCATTCAAGGCAGTATCATCCATTTCCTTGCCTTTCATTACATCCTTCTTCATTAGACTTCCTTGTAATATTCTCAAGTTTTAACTAAAACAAATACCTCTGCAGATTTTGCTAATTCACTGTTCACAAACTTTTTTTCCCCAAATTTCCAAGTATTTAATGTTATACAGGTCAACTGTTGAAGCTTAATGTTTTTAAATATTATGACATTTCTCATATTTTACTATCCTGAAAATTGATTTCTCAGTCCTTGTCTATTTCCTGTCTCATGGTCAGATATGTAGCTATAACAAGATTCTGCATTTTTATAGCTGCTAAGAAAGGATTTCCTCAAAGGTTTTTGAGTGATTAACTACCGTTATATTCTCTTTTATCCCTTTTTTTTTTTTTCCATGTCAGATGAAAAGTTAAAACTCTGTCAGTTACATGCACAAACCTTGCTGGCTCCTGAATCTCTGGATCACTCAGAAAGATTTTTTTTTTTTTTACTCTGAAAACAAAACAAAAACAGAACAAAACAGATGCTTAGCATCTTGATTACCCTTAACCCCTGGCACATAACTACATTTCAGTAAGAAATTAAAATGTCTATTTTTATAGGTAGTATGTATTACTTTATACATTGTGTAATACATGCAGAATGCAACATATATAAATGTGTATAGATAAATGGTTTAAGTTATACAATATATGTAATATAAATACAGTAAATGAGTGTAGTATATTATATAACCTATGAATACTTAACATATGTATATGCAATATGTTATGAGCTATATCACAATACGAATATAAAATAGATACAATTATTAAAAAATACTAATATATCAAAGTAAAATTCTAAAATATTAAAGCACAAATGAATCAGTCATTTAACATATAGTTAATCAATAGCATGAAATGCTTGTATACTCATAAAATACATTACATAGAGAGTATGCATTTATGCTATTTTTTGGATATATTTATGACGTTATATACTACATCATGGTTTAATTTGCAGCTTACAGGCTTTTGAACACTCACCAATGGGACCTTTATGGAAGAGGCTACTCTTTTGTGTGTCGTTTTAGTTTTTGTACCTGCCGTTTTGTTCATCACATTGCTCTGCTGCTTCCTGTCCTTTTAAGACACCCTCATTACTCACAAGCCCAGAACAGGCTTGTCTTCAACATTGTCTGCAGACAAAGTTGCCATTAAGAAATCATGTAGCTTGATAGCAATACCCTTAATTGCTCCTTTAAGCGCTCAAGGGATCAGCTCTTCTGTGGACACATTTCCCTCAGGAGCTGGAATATAACCAGTAAGTGCATCAGTGCTTAAATGTATTGTGCACTCCTTGAAAGCCATTGTTTTAGCATTATGCAGGCACATGGTGCCTCAGGTGCCTCTTTTCCTTTCAGCATTGTGTATTTGATCTTCAAAACCCTCTAACACTCCGCTCATCCAAAGCCAGCTGCCATTTCTGCATTTGCTTATTATTCCTTCATGTTGCAGGATTTCTGTTCCCTTCCGAAAGCTTCCCCAGCTTTCCAGGTTCCTCCCACCCTGCGTGTACGCTCACAGCTATTTCATGCTCACAGCTACTTCATTTCCTCTCTAGGAAGCAGCAAGCAGTTTTTGAATGGACGCATCCACATGAGAATGAGCGGCTGGCATTTACGAGGATATTCATGGTCAGACCTCTAGGCTAAGAAGGCCCTGCAGGGGTACCTGCTGAAGGCAGCAGTTTTCATTTGATGTACGCAATGGTTCTGAGAAAGCATTTTGTGTGCTCCAGTCAGTCCCAAACCCTGCTTCTCCAAGCTCCTGGGCCCATCCTACGTCCTTAAGTGGTGCTGGGAGCCAGTGTGTTTGAAGTTTGTTGAACAAGGTCACCTCCTCTGAAGAACGTTTATGTAACAAGAACTTGCAGCGCTGTCGTCACGGGCTGTGTATGCTTTGGTTTCTTTTGACAGGTTGTTTCTGGGCCATCTCTTACATGTTCTGTATGTAAGGGCAATTTGTCGCTGCTGGCATTCGTCTTCCACACATAAGGAATTGAGCAGCTCTAGAGCTAGAGCCAATCTTTCTATCTTTGACTTTCAAGCTCTGGAGGCAAATATAATGGCTTTCCAGTAATCATGATGCATTTATTAAAATCCTGTCTGCAGCCCTTGCATAGAAACAATAGTCGACAGCTTTGCTTGGTGCTACCAGTCATAAATGTAAGTGTCCTTACCAGCTCTTTGAGACTTTTGACTTATTTTTATGATCAGCATCTGCTATTCATTTTTGCACGGTAAGGCCCTTCCACTGGGTATTTTAGCAGTTAGCCTAACAGAAAGGTATCATTCACATACGTCTCTGCACATTCTCTCTGTAAATCAATGGTAATTTGTTGGCAATCACTCATTTCAAACTGAGATCTCCCTGTTCTCTCATGTACCTTTTTTTTTTTTTTTTCTTTTTCCTTATCTTAAACAAGCATAGTGTAGTTCAGGAAAATGCAGTATTTCAGTGCAGCTGTGTAAATGGCAAGCTGACTTTTGTTTAGCTGAACATCTTCCCTACAGGAGTGGGCAAGCAGTTGCCCAGAGAGGTGGTGGAGTCTCCATCCAGAGGCATTCCCAATACCTACCTGCACCTACAGCAACCTGCTTGAGCCTCAAAGCTGGACCTCCTTGGTGCAGGGGCTGCACTACATGACCTCCAGCAGCGCCTGCCAAGCCAACTTGTTCTTTATTTCCATGTTTCTGTGTCCTCTGTTTGGTGGACAGAGTCGATTTGAAATATAGCTTTGTTTACCTCAGAATATAGCCTGGAAATCAGCCTAGAGAGACAGAAAATTATGTCAGTTTTTCATAGACAGTTGACAAAAAGAATATTGGCAGATACCCTGGTTCATGATATTTACCTTCTCAGACCAAATCTGACTTGCCACGCTTTTCTATGAACTTCGGGAAAGGATTATACTGAGTTCTGCTCTCCTTTCAGTATGGTACACAGAGGTCAGTGGAGTTACTCTGTTATCACCATGCTGTACCAAGACACACCATAATACAAAATCTTAATGTTCTATCCTGTGCTCAAATTTCTCAGAAAGCCCCCCGAATTATTTCCCACCATTAATCTTACATTATCCCTATTATTTCTTCTCAGAAAGAACAGCACAGTCTCTGTAATTGCATGATCGGAGATTTCAGATTATTTTAATGGTGCAAAGCTTTTATGTAACATCAATTCTTAATAAAGCATGTCACTTCCATGACCTGTTGCAATTTGTCACGGGAAGTATTAAAGAGCTAGTTAATAACTGAGGGTTTTGAGTGGGTTATTTTCTGAGTTTTCCTGAACATCGGATGTGGATTCAAATTCATAAGAAACAGATAAATTCTGTGTCAATGGTGATAACACTTTTTGTTATTTAACATGCTCTTCTAGACTTTTCTGTATTTTTTTTTTTTTTTTTAGTACAAGGCATAGCAGTACTGCTTGAATGCTTGAAAAGATTTTGCTCAAAACAAAACAACAAAACATTTTTTAGAAAGAAAACCCAGATTAGCTAATTTGCTTCTGATATTATCCAGCTGCTGAAGTCCCACCCACAGGAAAGTAAAGTTCAGTTGCCTTAATATTGTGTCTGACTGCCTGCAAGATGCTCCAGGGCATCAGAAACATCTCCACGGTGCTGGGTGACATCACATGGGACCTACCGGAGACTCAGCAGCACACATGTTATTTTTCTCCACAATTTGTTTTTGAGATGGTCTCACAAGCCACCTAGAACAAAGAAAGCATGCTTGCTATTAACACCTTCCAACAGTACTCTGTTCATAGAGGAGAATTTCCCAGCTGCCTTGAATCATACTGTAGTCCAGCCAGGATTAGTGCCTCATGGCCTGGCATTCCCTTAGTGCCTAGACTTCCTTTCCAAAATGAAATAACTGAGAAACTGCATCTTCTGATTTTACCACACATCAGTCCTCAATGTCTTAAATCCCCTCTGGTCAAAGCTCAGGCCCAGCACTGGTGTGGTGTGTGACTGGGTGGATGACCATCTCTTGGCCAAAGTCAAAGAGAGATGGGCTTTCCTGTACGGTCTAGTAACCAGATAAATCTGCCCCAATTTCAGGTTTTTGCAGGAAATGAAAATGTCCTACAATTGCTCAGATCTACTCTTACTATCTGAGACTCATAGTCATTATATGCAGCTCATATTCTGCCTCTAGAGACAACATAACATTTACGGCTGAGCATATGACTTAATAAAACCAGGAACAATTCAGATCTGTAGATACCTCATATTGTTTATGTACTGCAGCCCCTTCAGCTAGGAATGCAGCACTGTGAAACGCAGGACACAATTCCTCAGCCCTGTGCCTTTTGTAGTGCTACTGTAATAACAGTATGGCAAGGTGATACAGAAAGACAGGGAACAGGCTCACTCTTGCGAAGAGGCACAGCAATCTAACACTAACAATTACACCTACCTTCAACTCAGTCATCTTTTATACTCTGATTTATAAAATAAACAATACAACTATTCCTTCTGCAGTTTTGCGGATTCCACTGAATTAACTTGGATGGCAGTAAATGAAAAGGATTAGCAATACCAAACTATTGTACATAGTCAGTAGGGGACCTGATGACTCTGTTGTTAAACCGCTGCCCTCAGGATTGTCTCAAGTTCACATTTCCCTAATCTCAAAATGCAAAATTTATAATTCTGAATTGCCAGAGGGTATTTAAAGGTAGTACTGAGCAGAAGAGACCCATATATTTGTGGTTCTGTGCATTACTAAAGACATCCACCCCAGGAGCAATAGTAGAACCAGAAAGAGACCAAGGTTTGAATCACCTCTTGCAGGTTAGCTGGTGCAATCCCCTGCTCAAAGTAGAGCTAGCTGCCAGGCTACAGCAGCTTGCCCAAGACTTCATCCATACAAATTTTGAATATCCCTACGACGAAGATCCACCACCTCCCTGGGCAGCCTGCCTCTGTGCTCAAATCCTCCTGTGGGGAAGGATTAATTTCCCTCTGTCCAGCTGGAGTCTCCCTTGCTGCATCTTGTGTCCTTTGCAGTGGGTCCTGCCACTTTGCACTGAGAAGTGGCTTTTTCTTTCCTGTAATAGTTATTTACTGGAAGACAACAACTAGATCTCACCTACCATTTCTTCTTCAGGTTGAACAAACACATTTCTCCTAGCCTCTCCTCACAGGGCATGGGCTCCAGCTTCCTAACCATTCTGGTAGTTCTCTCCACCAGTGGACTTTTAAGCAGGAAAAGGAATCATAAAGACTGTGGAAACTTTTTCTGTTTACTGACGTGAATGTAAAAGAATGCATGCACATAAAGAAGAAATATGTGCAAAATGAGATTCAAATTAGCAAGAGAATTACAGGATAACAGGAAATAATTTCATGCACAGTTTGTTCTTACCTTGTTGAATGCCTAAAGAAAACACTGATAAATATATTCAAGGGAAAGGTTTCAGCAGATGATTTCAAGCTGGACTATGGCTTCTTTTGAATCAGTCCTCTCTAAAGAGTATCAGTAGTTAATGTATCTAAAATGGTGAACTAGCCCTGTAGAAAGATTGCTCATGCATGTAACATTGATGAAAAGGTGTCAAGGGCCAGGGAAAGAGCAGGATAAAGAATAATATAAGAAGTTAGACCTAATGACATAAATTCAAAGTCTTCAGATTAGACAAGCCTGATAAGTATCACCTAAGGATACCTAGAGAAGTAGCTCCCACTGCCTCAGAGCTCTTAACGGTCTGAGAAACCGAGCTCACAGGAGATTAGAAAAGAGCAGATGTTTTTGAGACTGAAAGAGAAGAGCCAGGAAATAATGGAACAATCAGCTTAACTTCAAGGCTGTCATTCTGGCACCTTCCACAATCTCTAAATTACTTTTACTATAACAACAAAAAAAATAAATCCAAATAACCTACGCTGATTCTGAAGCAATTTCACACACACACCAAGAAAATTTATTACTAAGTTGTAAAAAGAACATGTTTTTAATGTGTTTATAATGGCCTCTTCAACTCACAGCTGAGTGCACTTATACCTCTACACTTAAAAAAAAAACAACACAAAAACAACAACAAACCAAAGCAACCTCAGACTGAAAGCTAGGAAATTGTAGGATGTAGAAATACATAATAAAATAAGTTTACTATAAACTCAATAAGGTCTGTGCCTACGCAAACTGACAGATGTAAAATCAGGAAACAGATCAACTGTGACTGCGAAACTTGAGGTGATGTGAAGATGTCTGTGGCACAAGAGAAGTAGCAACATTCAACCCAGTTGGAAAGTGAGGGGTGTCTTTCACTTATTTGTAAATTGTCATTAAAGAAGGTGTCAGCTCATTGTTTCTGTGGATTCGTGCTTAATACCCTATAACCACTAAGAAGAGATGATACAGAAAATGGAGGGAGCTTTCCTCAGAAAAGATACATATCTGACTACAGGCCTGTAACACCCAGCTCCACCCATTATCTGTGGGAGAAGGTAAAAGCTCTGAAGAAGTATGATTCCCTCTTTCTCTGCAGTTTGGAGAGCATTTTCACCAACACGGCAGGTAACATTGCAAACAGCGAGACCTGATCAGCGTGGTAAAGGCCTTGCACCAAGTAGTGGACGTCCTCTGCTACCCTGGCTATCTACAGGCCTCTCAGCAAGCGGACCAAGCCTAAGGAAACACATTATCTTCCACCCATCCTGCTATCATAATTATCCTTTTTGTTAATTGTTTTCTAGGCGGATGAAGAAGTTGACTGGGTTTTACTCCTCTGATGAAACACCAGCATTTAATACCCTGACTTGGATGTCAAGCTAAGGCAGACACACACACACAAATCCAGGGCGGACCTTAGGCAAGGGGGATGAGAAGCAGTGTGCATCGCTGTTTCGTTAGTGCTTGAGACTGTCCCCAACAGCAGATCCATTATACATCGACCCAGACAGTAAGACTCAAGGCTCTCAAACACCCCTTGCTCGTAGGACATATGTGTGTGGGAAGTGGACGAAGCTGGGAGCTTCTGCCTGTTCCTTTTTTAAAAATGGTGCAGTCGTGACCTTTAGCTCCACTCTGCACTGCAGGCAGAAGCTGAGGAACATGTTCTCTGCCTCCACAGCCTATATTTCTAGGAAATTTTACTGATCCACTGAGAGATCATGAGGCATTCCCACAAGTTTTTCTGCATTAAGAGGTACATATTTTAAATTGGGAAAAAAAGCTATGTAACTTTGCATTAAAAATGATCCCTGCAATTAATATGATAATTTTAAAAATTGTCCTTCTAAATAACTGACATTATTTATCATCATGAATATGCCACCACATAAAAAGCTCTTAACCTATGATTACTGAAAAAATCTTTTTTTTTTTTTTTTTCCATATTTCAGAGAACTTTGCACAAAGCTAGTTATATTTTCTTCTTGTTTACTAAATTGGAACATTTCACACATCTACAAGGATTTTTTTTCTGTCATCAAGAGAAAAGCAATTTGAAAAATCAGAATATGAAAATGAAGTTATAAGGCATGGAAAACCACCAAGAAAATTCTGGAATAAATGCAGCAGCATAAATGTCATGAAAATTCGGAGTCATGAAGTAGCCAGGGGGTTGAGGGTAGTGATTGTTTCCCTCTGCTGATAGCTTGTGAGGCTGTACCTGCAGTACAGCCCATTACAATGCAGCCCAATAGGTCCCCATTAGAAGAATTGTCAACATACTGGAGAAGCCAACTAGTCAAGACCCACCAAGAGAGTTAGGAAGCTAGTCTGTGATGAATGAGATGAAGAGAGAGCTGGGTTCGTGTAAGCCTAGAGAAAAAGCTCCCCCCTTAACCAAGGGGGTTTTGAGTACTTTTGAGTACTTTGTATTTCTTCAGGAAGTGCCAGTGCCTCAATTCTACACCCCGAAAACTAGATGTAAGTGTTAGCAACCCCATGTTGGAATTGGGATAATCAATTTCTCTGTAGTAAACTGAACACTTAAAAATCACTAAAAACGCTTACCCAGTTCATCTCTCTGCTTGTTTTTAAGTGCCTGACTTCAGTCTTCCACAACGTCTTTAACAGTTCCATCTGCTGACTTTTTATTTTAGCATTTTCTTGCAGTTACAGAGGATGCTGGTTGGAAGGGACCTCTGGAGGTTTCTAGCCCAACCCCGTGTTCCGAACAGGACTGTAATAAACACTCAATCACGTCAGCTGTGACTTTGGCTGACTCTTGAAAACCTCTGAGGATGGAGATTCCATTTAAATGTCATTATATCAAGAAACAATACATTGTAGAGTTGTCTAAACTATTTTTTTTTGTCAAATATGTTGACTTCTGTACATTTATTGTAGCCCTGGAAGCCAAAAAGAAATCTGATGTTTGAGTAATGACTGCAGATGAGGCATTATGAATGCTAGATACATGCTGAGTTTTGCGCTGCTGCTCTGTTTGGATGGAAGCCAAACAGCAGATGATAGAATAAATATAAAATGAAAGTGTATCTTTTTCTGTAAGCGACAACAAATTGCTCTGGGTTACTCATTTAAAGAAAAAAAAAGCAACATTAAAGGCAAACCTGTATGTAGCCAACAGCCCGCTTAAATGTAACTGTATAGAAATACCAGGTGCAGAAGTAAGAAAACTTAATTTGCATTCAAAACAAGGAGCAATCCTGTGAGTAGTAGACAAGACTACAGTTGAAGAACAATCCTCAGGCTTGCTGCCGTGGCTGTCCCATCTATCTTCCAGAACAGGGGTTGTGTTTTCACTCTCTCGTGATGCCTGAACGCTTTCCCAGCCACTCTCACTACCTGTCAGCATTCAGGTTACAATGCTTGCTTCAGAAGAAGGGGCGAAAAAAAAACACGTGCAGTGCTTTGAGCGCATCAAGCCGACTTTATCAGGATGCTGAGTGGCAGTAACAAAATAGCCGTGCTGCCCGCGCTGTTCTGCTGGAGCTTGTTTACAAGGCTCGTCCTGCAGAGACACCACGGCACAACCACGTGCTGACCCCAGCTCTGCCAGCAATGCGGCGTGAGCACACAACTGCTTGTTTTCTCCAGGCCAGAGTTTTCCCGCTGGGAGAAAGCAGCACGCTGATTGCCCTTTGCTGCGGCCCAGGATAAGGGTTGTCACGGGAGCTGAATCAGTTTCTTTTACTGCTAACAGCTTTACTTTGCAAAATCCCACTGACTTCTAAATAGGCTTCAGATATTTAAGGAAAAAAAAAATCATCTTGGTGCCAATTATGGTACATTAATTCAGAGGGAAACCAAACTGTCAGAATTCTAGCAAACTTCCAGAGAAACTAACATTAGGTAAATGCTGAAGACAAGGCTACAAAACAGTATCCACTTTATGTTTCCCCTCCTTTTCTTTCTATTTTTCTCATACAATGGATGATTTTCTGGCAGCACCATCAACTTCTCCTGAGGGCATCTCTGAGCAGAACCTAATCAGAGTATTCTTTCAGATGCAAGAAACTTTTTATTTCCCCTCTATCACATTTAAAACGCCCTGCCACCAGTGCAAGCACCTACGGTCCCTGTGTTTCTAAAAAATGCCAAACTGGAGAAAACTCTCAAGACATTTAATAGGGACTGCTTACAAGGATGGACTCAATTAGTGAACTGCAAACCTAGTAATTCTGAATTTACGTTCTCAGACCTGACAAGATGACTACATCACCTCTCTTCCTTTTAGACTGTTCAATTATCTGCAGCTCAAAATGCAGATGCTCAAATGCTCAAAACCACCCAAGCAGATGTTCATCCATCTGACCATTAGAATCACAGAAGCACATACCTCGCAGAGAAGGACAAACACACAGCTTTTCATTGGATTTCCAGCCTAGGAAGCCAGGACAGTGTTTTCAGCCACTGCCTAGAGTCTTGGGCTTGTCTCTGGCAGTCAAGGCAAAAATAACTAACTAGGACAGAGCAACCGCAATAAGCAAACTAGCAGTATTTCAACAAACAAAAAAACAACATCAGTGTAGTGTTGTTGTTTTTTGGAGGGGGTGGTGTTGTTTCTGAAATACAGAGTAATACTGCCGATCAGTGCAAGAAAAGTAGACTCCCAGTTTCTTGGCTCAAATCTCCCGTTAGCGCTTGACAGGAAGAAAACAAACAAACAAACAAAATAAAACTAAAAATAGCAAAATTTGTAGATATTGCAGGAAAAGGGGACAACTCAAAGAATTTAAAATGGTCCAGATGTGGGCTCTTCATCTATTAAGTTACACCTGATTTAAATAAGTTAATAATCTAAGACTGCATTTTCCTTTAGCTCCCAGACATAAGCTTTCTATTCGCATTTTAGTCTGAGAGTGGCAAGCTGTCAAAAAATAAAAAGCCATCAAGACTGTTCTTTTATACAGATAGCTTTTTGCCAATTGCTGCAATCAGCTGTATCAACAAGTATTTTCATCAGCTGAACCTGCCCTAGAATTGAAACCTTTGCAGAGTCACAGACTGAAACAAAGCTTAAATTACTGCTCAAAGGCACCAACAGATGCAGTACATGAAGCCATCAGTTCTGATTTCTTTACATAATTTTTGACCTTCTGATAATTTGTGGACATCATTAGACCATAAAAATAATGGCTGTGTTATAATTAGTCTTTAGGGCTAAGTACTGCAGACTGTATGACATTGATCATGCAACTCTTCCTCCATTTCAAATACCCAGTATGTAAAAATAAATACAAACATATGAAAACCAATGCTTATTTCATGCTTTAAGTTGGATGCTGCTACATCAGCAGGATTTCTTTTCTTATGTATCTTGTTAGAATTAAAAATTATACTTTATATATACTTTCTTTTGAAAGAAAATTCTGCTATGCAGGACCTGTCAAAAAGCTACCCATCCAACTGCAGCTGTCAGTTCAAGGAGTGAACTCAAACCTTGGTTGTGGATATGTACCATAGAGCATTTAGCTCTAACAAGCAAAATACAAGGGTAAGAACATTTTTATTAACCTATTTTATGAACTCTCAGGAGGAAAATGAGTCCTGTCAATGCTTTTTCACTGCATAAGACTTAGCATCTTACCAGAGGACATGTCACTATTTCAGTTTTACACCTCTCCCTCGAGAATACACCCTGTGATGAAGTAGTTCAAGGGCAGGCATCAGAAAGTCCGGTGTAGCAAGGTACAGCAAACGGATCCAAGCCATGTTAGGACTTCATCAGGAAAAACAAACATTGTAAATTTAGTTTGACAAGCAGCACAAATATTTGCATCACATGGTTCTACTGCAGGACAATTACTTGTACCACCAGTCACCTTCCTTTCAGGTCAACTTGATAAAAGTAGAAAGAAACTAAGCCACAAAGGGTGGAATGTAAATTATAAGCTTTGAGGACAGCTGAGTAAATTTTTTTAGTCGGCTTATGTAAATCACCCTTTTGGCCCCAAATAACCTCTTTTAAACATCTACTCTATGACAATATACATACTGCTTTTTTTAAAAAAAAGTATTTTTCAACTATAAACAAGTATCTTGCAGAAATTAGAGACAACTCCCATTTGATGGAATGACTGAGAAACAGAGGACTACTGTAGCCATGAGGGACAGTCACAGACTCTTTCAGGCACATTCCAAGACATGAGTCCGAAGCACGTTCAGCGCACCTGAAGATCTAGTTAAGGACATTCCACCTCCCTTACAAAGAATTTGCCACTCTGCTACGCAATATTTTATCTTGAATAAATTAAATGGACTTTTAATTAAGTATCCTATATGTTTATGTATTTGTATGCATACTTGCAATGATTCCCTGACCCAGTAAAAAAAAAAAAAAAATGTAAGTAGTACTCAGGCTGGGTGGTTGGTGGTTGGTTTTCTTAAAGGAAAAAATGTTATTTCTAGAACTTTTATGCTTTGAATGAAACACTGTGGGTTTTTTTGTTGTTGTTTGTTGGTTTGGTTTTTGGTTGTTTCCTTGTTTTATTCTGAAGGAAATCTTCATAAAATGCAGAACAGTTCCACAGGCAGTTTATTTGTACATACCATTATTCCATTTTAAAGACAGGCTTTAGATTTTACTGGTGCATGGTCCATTGCCAGCAACAGACACTCAAACCCACCAGTGAAACCGAGCTTAAAAATGGTACAAATAAGACATGTTTGAGGAGAAATCTCTTTATAGTTTTTGATTTAAAAAATAAAATAGGTGAAACTTTAAAAAAGGAACATCACATTCCAACTGAAACTTTAAAATATTCTTCTATGCTAGAAGCAAGACTGGATAAGTTCTCAGGGAAGCAGCCAAGTAACAGAGAAAGAAATTTAATCTTTCACATCATTTGTATCACTGTCTTTACTTTCCTGGCTTACATGATTGTTGCTATTTTTACTAAATTGACCCAAATCCTCAATTTTATTTTCTACTTCCATAGCACTGCTTTCCACAGGACTGTGGGAAGATTCTTCACCTATTTCTGCTTCCATTTTTGTGACTAAATCATGTTCTTTATCTTCCACATCCGTTCCTTCCTCCGTTTGTGCTGCTCCACATTGACCTTCTTCCTCTGTTTTACCTTCTGATTCCTCCTCTTTCCTCTTTGCTTTAAACACTTCAACTCCCATCATCCTCAGGTAATGAAGTCTCTCATTCTTGGGCACAAAGGCACGGAGTGATGTCTTTCCTTGCCAACCACACAGCACTATAGGACACTGAAGCTCATCAGGTTTTCTACAAACAAGTAGTTATATTTGGTCAACTAGGAAAAGGTGAATCTTGAAAACTTAATTTTATAGGCATATCCTGATAAATAAACACACAATCTTTAACAGTAAGTGCGATTTATAACTATCTGTAGAAGATGCAAGTACTTTGTTCGTAACTTCAATATCTAAACATGTACCTGCTTGCCTACCAGCAAGGAATGAAAAAGAAAAAAAAAAAAGCTCTAATGTCTGCAACATGTAAAATGATTTTCTGGCTCTGATGGCTTCTAAAACTAATTTAAGCAACAGTGCAATG